TATGTTGTGTGGATGAGGTTTGTTGAGATGGCTAGATTTGGAGGGTGACTGATGATGGGTTGAAACAAAAACAAGAGGAATGTCATCGCCTCTTTTTATTTTTGTAATTTTCTGAATATTTTTTCTGCTGAACGTCCAAGAATGTTGCGTGGGACCCCCCCCCCCCCCCCCCCCCCCTCTTGTTCCTGCCATCCAATCCTATGTATAATAACATGTTTAAAAGTCTTGTGGACAAGAGTATTAAAAGGATTTAAAGTAAAATTTTCTTGTGTCTCTACTAAAAAAGAAACTTTGTTATGACTATTAAGGGTAAAAAAAATTATTTAATTAAAATAAACTTTTAACTAAAATACCTAATTAAATATAAAGATAATTAAATTAAAAGACTAATTTAACTAAAAAAATTAAAAGATAATTAAATTAAAAGACTAATTTAACTAAAAAAATTAAAAGATAATTAAATTAAAAGACTATTTTAACTAAAAATAAATTAAAAGACTATTTTAACTAAAAAAAAATTAAAAGATAATTAAATCAAAATAATAATTTAACTAAAAAAATTAAAAGATAATTAAATTAAAATACTAATTTAACTAAAAAAATTAAAAGATAATTAAATTAAAAGACAAATTTAATTTAAAAAAAGTTAAAAGATAATTAAATTAAAAGACTAACTTAACTAAAAAAATTAAAAGATAATTAAATTAAAATACTAATTTAACTAAAAAAATTAAAAGATAATTAAATTAAAAGACTATTTTAACAAAAAAAACATAAATAAGATGGTCTAAAGCAAATAAAAAGTCGGGCATCAAAGTGCCTGAAAAAGAAAGAATGCATCAAAATAATCAGTGTGATATGCTATGCAGATGATGCAAAGCAAAAAAACAAAAAAACAGAAGGGTCAAAAATTAGGGCATGACATGAGCCATACTTAAAAATTGACCCCAAGGTTATGTGATTGATCAAGCTAGATGTTGGCTAGATTTGTTACAAATTTGTTCAAGAAATGACTATTCAGGCTTCATCCTTCGGTAATGTTTGTTTTGATCCAAGCTTGATAAAGTTTGTGGATAATCTATCCAAAGAGGTTCATAGCATAATCATTTGGTAAGTAAATAATATGATCAAGTTGTAGTGGGAAGATGATTAAGGCATAAGGAGTGCGCCATAAATAGTGATGGAAGTCACAAGTAAATTCTCAAGTGTTACCAAAATCATGTTGGTTGATTAAGTTGCTTCAATTTTTAAGCCTTGCTTTCACAACCCAAGGATGTATTCAAAAAGCAAAGATTGCTTTGGTCATGGCAAGTCAATTCATTTTGAATTCACAAGTGGTGATAAATTTTGAAGATGTAATTCAAACTATGAATATTTAAAGGCTAATTTGGTTGCGAGATGGAAAATACACTTGACCAAGTTATTAAAGATAACAAATTCAAGGAAAGAAAGTTTGTTTATTGCGTTCAATATCATGTCATGCTACAAAATTACCTTGAGGTTACATGATTCTATAAGGTTTCAAGTTGATAAAACTAGTTGCATTCTAAGACTTAAACCAAGATATCATATTAACCCAAATCATCATCAATGAAGCTTCAAGTGTGACGCACATTTGACAATATTCAAGTGTTCATGTTGCAAGTTATAAAATACTTCACAAATGCTACAAGGTTTAAAGAGTTCAATGTGATTCAAAGATGCTACAAGATTTAAATTACAAAGACTTTAATGAGATTCAAAGGTTATATTCCAATGATGTTCTTGCTAATTCCTAGACCAAAGTACTATGTCAATGCAATACTTACAAGTTCATGTCACCTAAAATTACAATGCCTAAGGAGTTGATTTCCTTGATCAAAATCCATGAGCTAAAATTGTTCCTCTCCAAGTCATCAACAACTTTCATTCTCGTGCCTCACCAAGTCTACTAATGCTTCACCAAAACACTCCAAAATACTCTTTACCTTCATGCTAAGAAAACCATGACTTCATGCCTTCATTTCTGCCCCAAGCTCTTCATGTTGCTCCAAGAATGTCTTCACTTTCATGCCATACAACTCACTTTTAAAACAACTTACAAGTTTCTCTTCATTCCAAGACTTCATGGTTGTTCTTCATGCTGATCAATCTTGCAACAAACCAAATGCCTCGAGCCAATGTACCATGTAAAGGAAAAGAATTAGGTCAATCAAAGCAGTACAAGAAGAGTACATGGAGGTCGATATTAGTGAATTTCATGTACAATTCAAATAAATCCCAAAGTGCAGGCCATTCAAATAAATGATGTCAACCAAATTCGCAGGTCAAGTGTAGTAGCAGGCATAACATTTGGTGCGTATGATTTTCAAGGACAAGCACATAATGTCAGCAACAACAACACAAGGAAAATTCCAAGTTCATAGCATAAAATGTTCACAGTAGAAACAAATATCATTTTTCAAAGGGGACCACAAAATGTTCACATCAACAAATCATCAGTAACTCAGAAAGGAAACAATACACGAGCACATGAGGACCACAAGCACAAAGCAAGCAAGGATTCAGAAAGGAGAAATTGAAATATTTATGGCAGAGAGAATTTCCTTCACCCATACATGAAAATCCCATATGATCAGGTTCGTACAAATCCGCTCTAACAAATTAATTCACAGCAACATTTCACCTCACCTCAGTTCTCTAACAACCTCACACAAGTTTTGCTAATTCACACGTATGAGGATTATGCTTGTGAATTAGGATGCCTTAAAATAAAATATACTCGGTTTATTTATGATCAAGAAACACACGAGGGTTAGGGTTATAGAAAAATAAGGAGAACAATAAGGATTGGTTATAACTGTTATTCTTTACTTTCTCTATAAAACAGATTACAAGTACTCAAGAATAACAAATAACCCTCTCACCCTAATTAGGCTTTGTCACACCACACTTAAGATGAGAGACTAGTATGCTATTTATAATAAAATATAACATACTAAACTAATGGGCTTTCAAACAATTACTCATTATAAGCTAACTTAGGGTACAAGCTAACTTAAATAATTTGATCTTTAACACAAGACCCAATTCAACAATTATATACTAGAACACAATTCGACTACAACATGTAGGTCTTCGACAACAACATGTGAGCAAACTTCGGCGGCATGCTAACTAGAGTTCGATCAAATATCTCACATGATATATACACTACATCATTTCTCATAGTCTGAGAATTTCTTAGAGCTTTTCATTGAAGCTCTAAAAATTCGAGCTAAGCCACAACAAACAACAAAAGAAATCAATAGCAGTACACATTGAAGGAAGGAGAAGAAGAAGAGTAGAGTAGAGTAGAAAGCAAACAGAAAAAGGGAATTGAAAAGTTACCTTCGCTGGAAAAGCTTCATTTCGGAGTTGCTCTGATCTAGGTACTACTCTCTTCCTCTTTGATCTTTATTACTTGATCTGAAATCCCCTTGTGTTTTAATCTCATTTCCCTGTTGTTATTTATTGTTTTGCTCCTTGATTGTTGATGTTAGATTTTGTCTGTGTGGTTTGGGATTCTGAGATTTTGAGGGTCTTTTTTTTTGTGAAATCAAGCTCAGATTTGGTTTTAGGAAGGTTTCTTAGGTAGGGTGGAGTGGTTACTTGAGGGTGGCTGGAGAAGAGAGGTGACGCCGTCGTGGCCGACCGCCAACCACCTTCTTCTCCGGTGATGGTTGACCAAAGCAGTTGTAGAGCATTAGTTTTATGAGAGAGAGAGAGAGGGATCAAATTGAAATGGGAGTGGGAAGGCCTATTTTCTCTCTTATCTCCCTTGCCACGTAGTAAGTGGCTGATGACGATGGCATAGTGTGTTAGTGACAAGTGTCACTGAACTTACCCTAGTGGATCATCTAACACGTCCATTTCCTTGCTTGCTCACCCTACGCGTGCATCCTCTACCCTTGATCATGAGTCAAATGTTGACTCCTTAGATGATGAACAATCCAGATAGTGCTGAGAGGTCAGAGTTGACCTGAGGGTCCATCATGGACCCTCCTCCCAACATGGGACTTTAGCTTTCATGGGTCTAGGGTTTTATTCATTTTCACACCCCCATTTACTCTTTGCAGTCTGGCCCATTTGGCCTTTTTATTTTATTTATATTTTTTTGTGTTTTATGTTTTTATAATTTGTGAAAAAAAATCAAAAACATTTTTATTAATTAATTTTTAATCTATGTTATTAACTTATTTTATTTTATACTAATTAAACTATTAAGAGATTAATTTTATTAAATATTTGAATTTAAGTGAATTAATTGATTTTTTTAATTCTAAAAAGCTCAAAAATACTTTCTACTTAATTTCTAATTAATTTTATTAAATATTTTAATTTAATTTAATTAATTATTCTAATCTATTTTATAATTAATCTATTTAATAGTCAATTTTATTAAATATTCAAAAAAAAAAATCCAAAAACGTCTTTTATATATATATATATATATATATATATATATATATATATATATATATATATATATATATATATATATATATATATATATATATATATATATATATATATATATATATATATATATATATATATATATATATATATATATATATATATATATATATATATATATATATATATATATATATATATATACTTTGGCCAATAGTACACACCCCACAAAGTACTCCTATCTTTTTGGTACAACTATTCTATTGGCCAAAAACGTCTTTGATATTCGTAGACCCTAGTACTTGTTAAAACTAGTATATTAATTATCTTTAGCAAGATGACAGAATTTAGGATATGGGTTTTGACTTTTCTCTATTCCTAAAAAGAAATTGATAACTTCGTTGAGAGAAACAAAAACGAAATATGATTTGATAAGATCCATATTCAAAATTAATTTCAGAAACGAGTCAGACTAATTAATCACATATTTGTTTCTATTTCTTTCATAGTAAAATCATTTAAGATATATATGATTCTTTCCTTCATCTGATGTTGCATATTCTCTATGTTTTCCGACCATCTAGAATGCTCTGCAACTCCATCGGCCGACACGGAACAACAAGAGTTCCCTTCTGTCTGAAACCATATTCCTCCGAAGCTTCATCAAGCAATCCCACAAAAGCAGGATCAGTCAAATAATCTAACCCTACAATAAACCTTCTTGCTTCATCACCCTTCCTTGCAAGAACAGCAAAGTAGCCTTTCATAACATCATCAGCCAACTCGGTTGTGGCAGTGGCATGATCTTCATTCCAATAACTCAATGCATGCTTTCTTGGTACACAGAGTGATAAACTCTTTTGTACCTTCCCAACAAAAGAACTAAGCATCTTTGATATAGTGAATAATTAGAGAACTATTAACAAAAGGAATATAATTTTAGGTCTTGAGTTTGGCTATTTATACTGAATTAAGACACGATATTTCATAACTTTAGGTACGTAAACAAATCCACTTAATATACACGGTACACTGCATTCATTGCAATTATATGATAGGTCAATTACTTCCATCTCATTACTCAAAAAGCTCTTTACTTTAAAGGGAGGGCCAACAATTTGTTGTCTCTAGCAAAATCCAATACTCTTATTGTGTGCTGATATGTTTATCTTTATTCGGTTTGGACTAAGCAAATAGTTTCTTTTGACAAATTGTATTTCTACGACCTAAAGACTTTGTTACTCCGACTACGAGATATTGTGTGTTTTTGGTGTGACCGTGAGAACCTTTATAATTGTTTTATAGAAAATAAGATTCATTAAATTGAAATATATGAGTCTTATATATAAATTATCTTTAACATTGATTTCCAAGCAATAAAAAATTGTTTTAGCCATCCTAGAACAGTTGTACCCTAGTGGAGGCTAATGGGCACATTACATACTCAGCAATAAAGAATTGTTCTCACCATCCTTTTCCCTAGTGGAGGTTAATGGGCACATTACATAGATACTTTTGTGTATTCAGACAATGTCAGCATTATGGTGAATTTTAAATTCGCGTCACTCCGTCTATAAGATATTGTTCAAATATTGTTCAATGAAAAACTTAAGTTAAAATATACAAATCATTAAATTCTATTTCTAAATAATGTGAAACTATTTTGTCCGGCATAACACATATAGGATTAAACAATCAAATATTAATTACCAATTAGTTGTGATATAAAACTTTTTCAATGTACATTTTATTTTGATCCCCCAACATCCTGGCTTGTATAAGGAGAAGAGGTGGAGGAAGTTACATCGTTTAATTTGGACCTAGTTATTTGGCCTCTTTGGATTATTTGAAACAATGTTATTTTTATTAATTGCATATCAAGTTCATTTCTTGAGGAAGATATTTTTAATTGGTGGCCGTGCACGCCTACATTTTAAACTTTGTGCTACCATGAGGTAGCCATTTGTTTAGGATGGATAATAGATAGAGTTTAGGCAGAGTATTTTAAAAAATTTTATGTACTCAAACTCATACTCGTCAGAGTAGTGACGTTTGTATTTGTACTCGTACTCTATAGATACTTAAATATTCATATTTTTATCTATTTATTTGTATTTTTAATAAAAAGTAATCGTTAATTATAATTTATAATGTAAATTTAATTTTTTAAATAATATTTTAAAAAAATTGAATATATTATTGTTGAGTTAAGAAACAAATATATATTTATATGAAAATGCGCAGAAATTTAGTAGTGATATCTTTAATTAAATTGTTAGATTAATATATGTATATAATAATGAAAATAAAAATAAAAATATATATCGTGTGGATATGGGGCGAGTTGGGTACTAAGATACGCGCCCTCGTACTCATACCCATTTAGTTTAGTGGATAATTGTCCATGTCCGTATTCATTTTGTGGGTGTTTATCCTACCTGTCGTGGGTAAATTTTGTGGATACCCATTGAAGATGGATATAATTGTGATCCCTATTTGTGTTGTCCCAGTTTTCTTTATTTTTCAACAAGTTAGTATATTTTTATGAAGCTAATTTTTATACATGCATTAGTCTAAAAATTTTAATACTAAGTTTGAAAAAATTTAGCACTGTGTAAGTTCGATTTGGGTTAGGAATTAACCAAAAGTATTATGAAAAATGTGTCATTTTTTACCTCATGTTAAAGATCGATGGGAACAACTATAAAGTAATCACTTTTTCCCCTCCGCTGTTAGTGTCAATTGAAAGAAAAAGTGACATTGGTTATAAGTTCGATTTACAACAATATTTTTATATTTTTAAAACTATAAAACTAAATACTTTTCCTCTTGGTTGAAATCAGAACCAAGGTAAAAATATCAAATTTTTCTCTCGATTGCTTATGTTGACCGACGTGAAATATGTTAGGGGTGATTTTTACCTCGATTGTGTGATCCAACCAAAGAAAGAAATTCTTTATTTTACAAAATTTTTGTTTTAACTTGTATTTTTTTAAAATAGAAGCTAGATTGTACATTTTTTGAAATATAACAAATTACACGTGTGTAAAACATAGTTATATTACCTTATGTAAGAAAATGACAAACATTTTGTATCAAAACTATACAATATTTACACTTAAGTCAAAATAACACATACATTCTTTATTTTAGAATAAAACTAAAACATATTGAAATGTTTAACCAATAAAGACAAAAATCAAAGTTGTCCGACTTCAATGAACGTCCTTAAGTCTTCTTATGTTAATGGTGTCTAGTCGATGAACACTTATAATATGAATCATATTTAAACACAACAACAACATCATTAAGCATTAATAACAACAATATTAAACCTTCAAACCACTTATTTCAATGACTACAAGAACATTAAACTTTTAATTTCAACAATAATATTAAACTTTTTAATAATAACAACATTAACTTTGCTTAGAATGACAACAACATTAAATATTTTACTAAGATATTAATAACAACAACAACAAAAACAATAATAACAAGTCAATAAAATCATTAATCATTTAATCTTAATAAATAAATATCATAAAGAATATCACTTATTTTAGGGGTAATAAATTTTAGTCTTTTACTTCTAAAATCATACAACATATGATATCCCACAAAAGCTTTACAGATTAAAAGAAATTATTAAAAAATATTCAATAATAAAATGAATATATATATATATATATATATATATATATATATATATATATATATATATATATATATATATATATATATATATATATATATATATATATATATATATATATATATATATATATATATATATATATATATATATATATATATATATATATATATATATATATATATATATATATATATATATATATATATATATATATATATATATATATATAAATATTTACTTGTTAATTTTTCCATATTCCTTCTTGATGATCATAACGAATATCATGAACATCATCTGAATCATTTTTATCATATGTGGTACGCTAACATAATGTTGCGAAAGAATGTGTCTCAAAAATATCAAGAGTTAAATTTTAATTTTTATTACTAGCAATAATGTGTTTTCCTTGTAGAACAGTTGATCATCTATTGTTAGAAGGACCAGTGACATAAAAAAATTTGTTTTGCTTCGGATGCCGTGTTGAATGGTTCATTCATATAAGATGTCTTGTGAATGTCAAATTCGTGTGAATCCTAATTTATCGATTTGTACACATGTGTTACTATCAATCGAATTGCACTTAAATAAAGACACTTTAAGTATAAAATAATCAATCTCCTAAATGATCCCAAATTACGATATAGAGAAGTACATGGATTCAACCTCAACCATAACTGCACTATTTTATATGGTACTGTAATCATCCTTTGATTTAGTATAAAATGCAAATTTACTAATATCATATAGAGTCCAAGTTATTACATTAAATTGAGGAATATATGACATCCATTTAATTGTCTTCAATGCACTTCCATCTTTAGAAACCATTTCATTAAACTAATTAATCGAATTCTTGTTATGATCTCTCAACAACCTTTTTAAACTCATCAGGGGGGATTTTCACTTGATAAGTCTTTTGTGATTAGATAAGTAAGATTGAATTGTTAGATTAATTATTTAATTAATAAAATATGGATTGACATAATTAATATTATGGTCTGTTGTTATTAAACACTAAATAGATGAATGATTTGATTGGGTTTTGTTCCTAAATGGATCGTGATGGGTTAGACCATTCAGTTAAGCCCAATGAGAGGTCTCTGCCCTCAGCTATTTAGCTATTTAAGTGTCTCCCTATTAGACAATTAACTCACTATAAAAGCCCCTAAACGGCAATGATGGTAGTAATTCTCTCATACTCACACTCTTTCGCTGCCTATAAAAGCATCTAGAGCATAGTCTGAAGACTTTTGTATGAAGAGTTTCAAGCACAGTTTTTCAGAAGACTCTGATAGTACTGTACGCTGCAAGTACTGAGGATCTGATTCCTAAAACTCTGCTCTAATGAAATTACACGCTGAAGCACACTTGCTGCAACAGTCTGATTTAGCAAACTCTGATGAACATCAAAGACTCTGATCATTCAAGGCTCTGATGTTATTTGTTGAGTATTAGAAACTTGTTGAAGAAGAATTCAAAGTTATGTCCGTTGGTTAGGACAAACGACTCTTTCCTCATTTATGCTAGACACAAGAACTCAGGCAAAAAGGATTTCTCTGAACGTTCTTCTTCTAGGAAAGGCCAAGTGATGTGAAGACAAAAAGGTTACAGCTACTTTGCAGACACGGTCTTCAAAGCATGCAATGTCTTGGATTTCTAAGCCTATAAAAGCAAGTCTCCAACACTCTTCTTCAGTGGACGATTATTGAAAGAAATTCATTGAAAAACTCTCATAAAAATTATTCTCATTGCTGAATTTATTTCATACTTTCTTAAAACTTAAGTGTAAATCACTGTTTTGATATAGCTTACTTAGAAGCAATTCAAACACTTGTTTTAGTTTTACATTTGATTGTAAAAGTTCCTTGAGAAGACCCAGTTATGGTCAGTAGTTCTTGAGAAGACTAAGAACAGATGCTCTTAGTGCTTACTATTGTAATTAGTTTGATTAATAGTGGATTAAGTACTTGTGGAGAAAGACAAATCACTCTTGATAGGGTGGACTGCAGTAGTTAAGTTCAACGAACCAGGATAAAAATCTTTGAGTTTTTATTGCCATAATATTTTCTCTATACTTATTCAACCCCCCTTCTAAGTATTTTCTCACCTTCAGTTGGCATCAGAGCTCCGGTTCTGTGTGTGCTACCACTTCACCGTGTCAGAAAAGATCCAGTGAGAAAACTTTGATATATATTCTTGGTTGTTATTATGGCTGAAACTTCAACATCTAAC